GTTTCAGAGCTCATCACATCTAATGTCATTAGTGTACCTTCTCAGTTTTAATGTGAAATCTGATTCTGCTATTTACGTGTGCCTCAACTTCATAACCATACACATTACTAAGTTAAAATTGAGTTTTTCAAAGCGCTATCAGGCTCACTCCAGTCAGATTCAACTTCCCTTGTAACTTGGAATTTTTCTGAACAGCCAATTGGCTCTGAGTAACTCAACAATAAATATTACCTGTGTCTTTTGTGCTTTCTCTTTTTGTGGGAGCCTTAAATGAAAGAGTAAGAAATGATTCCACATTAATATAGAATGTTGGAAAATGAGTCTTTATCTTTAAGGAGAACTGATTGTTTTCATCCAAAGTTGTGAACTGAGATAAAGTAGAATGCTATGACTAAATTTTTCTAAAAAAAAACAATCAGGGTTAATACTCAAAATCCAAAAATAAAAAGGTCAGTGGACTTTTGTTACCAAACAACACAATAGTAAACAGCCACTCAGAAACAAAGCAAACCTATTAGGGAACAACGTCTAATAGTCCGATCACCAAGGACAGTGTGCCAAAACAAACCAATAGCATTGAGCCCAAAAGCAACAAGCCCAATAGCAACAAACCAAGGTGCTATAAATAGCGACATTTAAACTTTCCACCTCATCGCCTAAAAAAGACTAGCAGTATAGCAGTTGAAACATCACAGTCAATACAGGATTGACTAGCCTGACTCTTATATTGTGAGACAAAACCATTACATGTTCACTTATCAACGTAATAGTACCCTGTAACTGGGAATATTTCTTTTTCCAATTCTTTTGTAGTCATACTATTTGCTAGGAGAAAAATTATCTACAATAAAAAAATCGCACAAATAATGAGATGCACAGTAGCATGGCAGATGCATTTTACCTTTGTGGACACGTCCAATGTGACTGTGCTGATGATGAATTTGGTCTGAATGGGAAGATGGTTCCTCTACAACATAATAATAAATATCCAAAGTCTTTGAATATTAGTTTTATTGGTATATGCCATAGCAAGATGTTGAACATGCATGTCATCTGATTAACAACAAGGCTAAAAATTAATCATGTTATACAATCAGATTCACTTGTTTGTCTGGATAAATCTCTTTTTCTCCCTTTAAGCTTCTTATAATCTTCAATGATAAACAAAATATTTAGCACAACTATTAAACTTACTTTTTTCAGGGAGTGGTTCAGCAAGGCCACCACCAGCAGCTATGGCCTAACAAGAAAACACAGAAGTTACTAATTGAAATTTTACCATAATATTTCATACTCCTGACATACATGTATGTAAAACTACTTACTTCATTTAGAAGTTGATGACAAGAGGTGAAACATCATGATATTTAATTTAACTAACCAACTCCCCTCAAATAAGTGCCTTCAGTGGATTAACACCTCTCCTTTTGGTCAAAATTTTTTTAAAAAGTAACTAATCTCCAATGAGTGCTTCCTCCCCATCCCAATTTTTGTGAATAAGTAATGAGACAACTGTGCAGCATGTTTAGAACTGGAGGTGTTTCATCACTAAAATCTTTTGTACATATTATTATATCATATTTGTTTTGACTTGTGAACATGTCTAATTTGGAAAATAATCATGAGTTTCACAGTATGGTAACACTGATCCCTTCAATTTAGCTCTGTATATTAAAATTTACCCTGTTTATTATTGAGCTCTAGTGCAAATATTTCATCACAAAATAAAAGTTTGCTAGTAGATCAAAGAAGATGATGCTGAGGAAGGTAATGACCATACCCTAGATGGAGATGCACATGCACAGAATGGATGGTTTTAATTTTTTTTGTGATTGAATTTGATTTGTTACAATCCAACAAGCTAGTTGGGGAGATTAGATTTATCAACAAAAGGGAAAATTTCAAGCATTTTGGTTTACTTTTAGTGCTTCTTCCAGCAGGTTTTTCAATTTGAGTTCCCGTGTAACTGATCAACATAATATCAAAATTTAAGTGCAAAAACATCACATCATACATCATAAACAAAGACAAAAAAAATAACTCTAAAAGAAGCTGTAAAATATTAATAGCAAGCTTACTGCATGAGATGTTATGGATGATTTGGAGAAGAGCCGTTCAGCATCTTTAAATTTTCTGTTTCTTCTTTCAACTTTTGTATTGGTTGTTCTACAAATTAAAGAAAAAAAAAACCCACAAACATTGATCAGGTCAAATCCAAACAACTACACACACATCACACATGTCCTTCAGGCAAATTGTTGGAAAGAACAATGTGGTTAACCATCAGTGTGCTGATCTACATGTACTTTATAAATTGCTTAAAGCAACTTTAACTGATTACATAGAACTTCAAGCTAATGAGGAAAAAGTTCACTTAACTTACTTATTAGTCAAAAGTCTGTCCCATCCCCTGATTATGTTCCCATACAGCTGTGTGTCTTCTAAATAACTTCCTTCAAATGCATATATCTGGCGCTCTAGATTGGCTAGGCTTTCCTGAAAAAAAATTATGGCATGAATAGACAGTCAGTCTTTATTAATTTCCCTGTATGTATAAGGAGAAAGGAGAATCCAGCATTTACATTCCATATTTTACATTGTACAAGGGGAATCCAAATGAATTTCTTGCTGTAAATATAATAGAAAAACTATTTATTATGAATCATATGTTAAGTCAATACAACCTGATTCACATGTGTAACAAAATGACAAGGGAATAACATAAAAGATGATAAATGTGACATAATATTTCTACCAATGTTCCTTCACCTTTGTCATGTTGTGTGGATCAGATTAGTGATCAATTGTTTATTTGACAATGTGAATTAAACAAGACTGACCCAGGCACTTTATATATAACCCAATATTTACATCCCAGAGCAAATCATCTTTCACACCAGAATTTGATTTGAATGTACACATGGTGCAAATAGACACTGAAAACAGTATGGAAAATAAGCTTTTCAAAAGTTTCTTCAGTAATTAAATCAACTCCTCATTGAGAATCAACTAGGTAATTGATGTGATATAGACTGAGCTTAGCATTTTGGAATGATATTCAGTCAAAACTTTCTGTTGGGCAAACAACAGCAGTCTTCAGGTGAAACAAAACACACAGACACAATTTATAAAGGAGATATCAACATCCCATTATGCATGATGTAAAGGAAACAGGGGCATTAGCATGCACAGTAAAACTGATCTAACTATAAAGTGGGCAAGTTTCAAAAGAAACTGTGGTACTGTGTTGGTGGGGGAGTGTAACAACATAATTTTGGTTTTATCACCTGAGTTGATAACATAAATTGGCCACAGTAAGGAGTTTCAAAGATGATGTTTCGAGCATTACCCCTCATTAATAGCACTGATGAAGGGCTAGTTTATATCTTTGGCAACTCACATGCACCATGCATGCAACTTATTTTGGGGCAATAAGTCATGTTCTTCCTTAATTATATTCAGAAAATTTTATTCAGGTTTCTCCTTTGAGGAGGAGTCCATAAAAGATCCCAATCTGTCCTGATCAAGATTGCAAATCTCCTCCATACTGGCCAAAAATGCAATATAACATTGGACCACAGAATTGTATTGAAATATTCCTTAAAGGAAAACCACTACTTTTTCACGTTTAATAATAACCAACAACTAATAACTGGAGAGCACGTTTGACCACCAATTAACCATAAAAGGGGTTGATTTTGGCGCCCTGTTTGGCTGACGTCATCAAAATACACGCAACAATTTTTGTAAAAATCATAGTAAAAAACGGTGACCATACTCCCAAATTAACCCCTTCGATTCAACTTTTATAAAAAAAAATGACGATCTGATAAAAACTTACAGCGATCTCTGCCCTTTTCTTGATTAGTTCGGCTAATTCTGTTCTCGTATCTGTAACCTTCGGTGCCGCCATTTTGTCTTGCATTTCCAACTCTCCCGGATGGTTACATCGCAAGGCCTCATGGGTAAACACTTTTTGGCGCGAGGGTTCTCGATGATTTCACTACGTACTAAATTAGAGATTGGTTTTTCGCCTACAAGGTCTAGAATTTCCGCTTTTTCTGATATATACATGGCATTGAGGAAAAAACTTACACAATAAATTGTGTCGTGTGGTAGGCGAAATTAACCCGCTTTGGTCAAACTAGGCGCCCTTAGTCGTATAGAGTACTTTCTTACTTGGTGCGCTTCGTCGCATCGCGAAATTTTTCACTAGGATGTTATGGGTAAAGTGTTATGGGTAAGGTGTAATGGGTAGGGTGTTCTGGGCAAGTTTCGTAATTCAGGCATCTGGTGTAGAAGGGATGCTTTGCCTAGGGCTTAGTGCTTTGCTTGGTGGAGATACTGTTTTAAGGGTATTTTTACGGTTACCCACCCATTTTTTGTGACACTTAAACTAAGTAAACCTGCAAAAACGAAAAAGACGTAAGACACTTTTCAAAGCTTGTCTTTATTTTACATATCAAAATTGGCTAAAAAATATGGCAAACCCCCTCAGCAGCAGCTCAAAGATTTTGTACAACCGAACTATAATTTCCCATTCTCACAAGATAACGAGTCTTAATAATGTTAAATTTATCCCTTTTTTTGATTCCAGCGATTCAAATGCGAACAGGCAACAATTTGGATCAATCATAGTAATAGTCATCTTAAATTCCTGTTGAATATCATTAGCATATTTAAAAGGGGCGAAAATTATTTCTGCCAAGTTTGTTAAAGAAAAGGTCTGGCCCACTCAGGTTTTATTGAAAATAAAAAAAAGGCCATAGCCGTGAAGCTGTTACATACTGATACTGCAAGAAGTACGATGCAGAAACTCATTAGGAATCATAACAAGTTATAATAATTTCCTACATCCAGATGAACATTTCTGTTTCATTTGTCAATGCATTTGGCAGGAGATAATTCTCATACCTAATTTTTCTATGAGTTGTTAAGTCTCGAAAAAGCGCAAGCAGAGGTACTTTAATGATATGACAACAACATGGAATTGACTCGCCAGGTTGACATAAGGTAGGAAAATCTCAGCCGCAGATCTTAAGCAGAAGCAGTGTCATGCTTCGTGTTCCATTATGAGATACTGCAAGATCCTAGAGTGATATTATTATAAGCTATAAAATCAGATGCAATGTAGAGCAGGAAAAAATGATATTCCCTTTCAATGGAAAAAGAAAAGTCGATCAAGAACTTTTTCCCACGAACTGTTTTGATGATAACTGCAAAATGCGTCTGTGAAACAGCAACGTTTAATGCTCGTAATATACTCAAATGCATTTACACATACATTACTTGGCAATTTTCCTTGAGAATATATAGTATTTTTTAATTCCCTAAGACGCAACAAGAGGAAAGTTCCTTCTTAAGCACACATAAAGTCACGAAGCTAACTTGATTTTGTTTAGCCCTTTATTACTCATTGAAAAGCCGTGTCCGCAGAGTTGATTCTTGCCAGATTATATAAACCAAAGTAAAAAGATTTGATATAATGAAAATTGTTGTCTATAAAGATGACTACTAGGGCTCTTATCTACAATTGTTATCACCTGTTTTGTTATAAAGCCAAACGTTAGAGTGTTAATGCTGAATCCGTACATGTACACTTTACTGTAGAATTGATTTGCCCCACAATATTTTTAAGTTTATCTACACAAGCAGAACATTTCCTCTTCTTTCTCACAGTTTTACACGGATACGAAAATTTCTTTTTGCAACAAAACTAGCTCTCTTTTGCTTAAATATTCTTATTATTTGCAATGCTTTTTTAGCTAAATCTCCGTTTCACTTTTTAAATACATTTTGATTTAAATAGAAAAAAAATCCCATAGTTCAGCAAGCACAAAGTGCCGTCATTGATTATATAATGCGCACGAATGCAAGAGGAAGAAGGAAACATCAGAAGAAACAAACATTTTTCACTTTTCGGTCTTAAATTTCTAAGCTGACACTAAGCTCATTCCAAAGAAAGACTTTGCGTGGTTTCCAGCCACTCATAGCTGGCATTCGTGCAAATATCAACCAATCCGCATGTGATCTTGTTTTCCCGCGTTTTACGGGACTGCGCCGAGCCGATTGACTGAGGCCAGACTTCCCACTGTGGTGAAAAGTCATTGCGTGGACGAGTATGGTTAATTCAACCTGATCACACCTCAGCCTGTTCCAAGCGTAATATATCACTATGCCGGATATGCTACCTGGAATCAGCTCATACATACATCAAGTGCAAATATTTGAGTCAGACATACCAATATAAATACTAGTGGCACTAATTACATTAACATTGCCGCCATTAATTTTAGTGGTTTTTGATTACATGAAAGTTACTTTGTTAGATACCATTAATTGAAAAGCTCGCGTCCATAAGGAGACAGACGTTGAGGAAACGAGGGGAAGAAACCCAGTTGAGTAACGTAAGTGAATAAATTACTTCCCTTGCGTTTTAAGTAGGAAAAAGACTCTAAATGAGGCAGCACATGTACAGCAACGACAACTCCCACTATCAGGATGAATCAGAGCAAACTTTACGTACAGAGCAGTTTTCAACTGAGTGCCGATAGTCATTCACGATTGCGTCTGATTTTTGTGTCTTACGCATTGGTTGGTAAAAAAAGAAAAAAAAAAAAGAAGAAGAAAAAAGAGAAAAAAAAATGCCACCTTGTAACCAATCAAGCGCAAATTGAAATAAAACATGATGAGCTTAATGGCATTTTCCGTCCCCGGCGACACAGGCAGTTCGTTGGTTTATATTTTGATTTCTCACCAGTTCCTAGCGATATTTTCCCGCTCTGACTGAATCTTGTCATTACTTTGAATCTGGCTTTACGACACTCAGTGGAAAAGTGCTCTGTTTGGCTGCAACTGTTTCGTTTCTAACAAAATTAAATGATCCTCTCTCGTCAGCAGAAAATCAACCTTTTCATCTTTTCACAGCACACAAATCTTGTGCCAAAGATTTATATATTAAATTCAACCTCTTAATTTTCCTTTTCCATTAGTCTCTGAGAGGAACTCCTCAACACAAGCCCTTAATATCATGAATATGCACCAAAAATGAAAAGATAATAATGTGTCATGGATGTCAGGATATTGAATTGAACTCGATATAAAATTTGAAATTCACCGACTACCTTGATCATGCCTTACTCATTTTTAAACATATCACTCAACAATCTTTCTATGGGAACAGTTCCAATCGTCTTTTTAAAGAATAGCTCCTCGATTTCTTTTGCACTGATTCGTCTTAAGGTTGGCAGGAGAAGGAGAAGGCGACCAAACCGGGCCAGTTGAGTAGGGCATTGGGCACGAACATATTCGCCAAGCATGAGTTGCGCCTGGTCTTGAGTGGACTCCACTTGTTCCGGGTCCTTGAGCCCGCATGCAGCTGAAAGATCAATAGCATGTCGATTATCAGGGATTGATTGTAGGAAAGGGAAACTGTTCCTTTTACAGATCCCCCTGCCCCTATACATAACTACCTTTTTCTACTTCGAATTCTAGTGCCATGTTTGAAAATTGTCTCAATTAAGTTGACGGAGAATCTTGTTTTGAACAAGCACGTGTTCACTTACTCGGCTTAAACAGTACTATAGCCTTCAGACATGCATATTCGGTAGAATCAACATTTGCAGCCTTGAATTTGTTGACTGTTTCTTGGATTAGGCGTACGGTTGCCATGACATCCACAATAGTCTCGGGAGGCGTGTTGTCTACGTGCATTCCTGCCGCAGACAAAATTGGCGCAATTTCCAAAGGCATGGACCACTGACTTGCACCAAGCAAAAACAATTCGCGCCAACCCTCCTCAAGTAGAATAACCTTAGGAAAAATATTTGCACCATCATGAGTTAAGACATTTCTTTCTTTAGTAAATCGTTTGTTGATTTCATTTGGTAAGTTATTCTGCATTATGGTTTTGCACCATCAACAAATAACAACAAAAACAACAATTTTTACTTTGACTTAAAAGATTTTATTTATGATAGCTTATTTTCTCGTTTGCTTCATTGAAAAAAATACTCTATGCATGATAACAGTAAATTAAGGATTAAGGAGTTAGGAATTATGTTTCCCTTGAAAAGCTATGCGGTATCAACTACAGCGGGATCACCATAGCCGATGTGGTTTGAATCGGCTATAGGCGATTAAACTATGGCGTCTTCTGAAGAAAAATGTTATAAGACTCGCTCTCCTCTTGTTTGACAAATGTTAGCGCAATATAACCTGGATTGGATCCAGTTAAACAAGAGTCTCTTTATCTATTGCTAACACCTAACTTAGAGAGGCAAGGGGTTTCAATTGAAATTTTAATTGAAGTGACAATGTTTAGTATAGACTACGAAAAACTTATCAACGGTTCAAAAAAATTCGCTTTTAACAAGAAACAGCTTGTTATCGTTCTCTTACCTGATCTCTAAAAGGTAAACTCATGAATGAAGGAATATTTCTGGCCCACTTTACAGACATAAACAGCAGCTTAGCGGCAGCCTCACATACAGCTTCGGGATTGGAATAGTACATAGACACCGAAAAATCCGACTGAAATCTGATTGGTTTAAATTCCAAGCCAAGATCAAAGTCGTTGGCCGGTACTTGACAGCCTTCCATGCAAGTTTCTGCAGCTAGAAGGGTATTGATGAAGCCGCTTGTATTGTGCTGCACATGCGCTGTAGTGGTAGCGCCATCCATTCTGTCCTGGGCCTCTTTTAGCATCTTTTGCTTCCGGAGGGTGGAGCTTCGGGGTCCACGCTCGTGCTGGACAGCTGTACGGATTAAAAGGACATCAGTGGTCACCTGAGGCACGCCTTAAATCCCGGATGTCATTATTAGCGCACTCGTTTTCTCGGTGGAATTTTCTCGAAGAAAATCATCCAATTCACTTTTTTTTTCGGTTTACTCTTAGTATTAAATTTTAAAACATACCGTGAAATTTTAGAGAACGAAAGCAATCGAGATTAAATTTTTTTTATCCAACGGGAAGAATCAAGACGAGTGATGAGCTGTGACAGGAAAGGAGACTGAATGAGTCGAAATAGGAAAAAAAAAAAGAAAAGAAAAGAAAAACTATATACCAATCACAAGACAACCTAGATTGTGTGTCGCCCAAAGTTGGCGACAGTTTCCGAAGCTGAGTTAAATTTATTCCAGTGAAGCTGATGTTGCCGTCTTTTAAATTTCCTACAAAGAAGAGCAGTTTTTTACGCAAAGAGCGTGGTCGAAGGAAACTGTTAGTGTCACTGTCGTATCGTCATCGTACTTATTTACCTGCTTTTTTTTTGAGACGTTTTATTTTGTATTTTTTTATTTGAACAGTACTTGAATTAGAAATTATGAAAAATTGAAAGTGTGAGAGACTCTTCTTTGCAGATTTAACCGGTGGTGCGATACTTAAAGTAGTACAAACAATCATAATTGCCTTAAAAACAAACCAGTCTCAATACAAAAACGAGCCTTCGGCAAAACTGTCAAGATCAATCAAGATCAGTTGGTAATAAAATGAAATGAACTTAATAATAGTCAAAAAAAGATTATAATGCCTTATTCAAACACAAATGAGGTGTCCACGAGCCAAAACAGCGTGTGCTATCCTTGTTATGAAATTTTCTTTATCACTTCTTTAGATCTTCCACGTGCCCTAAGAATTATCATGAAATATTCATATTTCTGTCAATTAGGGAGGTCATATCACCACGATAAATCAAATCAGAGGTGATAATCAAGGACAACGAGGGAAATACAAGAAAATTACGCGCAATTAGAAGATGTTTGTAAGTTGTGATAAAGACATAGTACTAAACTCACAACTAACCCAGCCCAAAGCAAAGAATCTACATTCGAAGATATGACACCCACCCGCACAACGTCAAAGACCTGTCGATAATAATCAAGTTCGTTATAAAAGTAATATTTGTCATTAGAATACGACTGCGTTTGCAATCAAAGCACAGACTTCAATAAAATCTTAATTAATTTGGATGTTTTGAAACCACCGATTCGACGAGAATATTCAGCGGTTCGATACAAAGAAATGAAGAAGCATGGTATAAGAAGCATGGTATGTGTATTCCTGTGGTCGAATGGCTTTCTAGCTCAACGAGTCTTTGACAAAGTGATATTTTACCTAAATTCACTCTCTTCTCAACAAGTTTCTGTTCAAAAGCTGAGCGCAGGTGCTTAACAGGTTGTTTTGTTTTTCTAAGACGGTTTGATCTTCAGCCTGAGAGAACTCACTGCTGCGAAGTATATTGAGACAGTTTGAATTATTTATGCCATGTTGACTCCCTGCCGATAATTCTGTGAAAACTGTTACTTTAATTATCGCCTCTTGAAAGCGATTATCGCCAGCTTTAGTGCTTTGTTTTTCAAAGGCTGATTTCTGATAAACGAACGAAAAGAATTCATTTAACGCGACTTAAGTGGTGTGCGAGAGCACTGAAGGTTTTCTTTTTATCAGTTATCTGTTTCGATTAAACATCATGCGTATTTCTAAAAACGTAATTTATTAAGGATGCATTGAATCAAAATTGCTGATATAGCGAGATTTTTTTTCGCCAGAAGTGGGTGACTTCAGTTAGAAAATGTTTCAGTTGTCTGAAAGTCCTTAATCGAAGTTAGCAAGATAGTCAAGAAGATTATGTCGTTTTAACGTTTCCATAGAAGTTTGTCTTGAACAATGTGCCATAAGTCAGAGAAGTTTGAATAAAATAATAAAGAGGAAAAAGGAGACCACACAAAAAACTTGTTTTCTTCATTCGCAACAAAGAACTCCTTTAAGGAAAAACTAAGATTTCAGCACCAGAAACGCTTGTTAAATTAAGTGCGCGTAGTCAAACAACTAAACCTGATTGAATTCAAATTGGTAATGGATTTTTAATGGGTAAAAACTTTGTATAGTATATGTACTATTGATCTCCTGATAGCGGAGCCTGAAAACCCTGATTAGATTAATTATTTAAGGGACAGATGAAATCAAAATACTTTCCGTTTTCTGTCCAACAATAGCTAAATTAGTTCCATCGAGTTCCTCGAAGTGTGCAGATACTTTTCATCCCTGCAGATATCTTAATTGAAACTCGGTGGGTCGAAACTCGATAGATCAATACCAAGGGGTATTTTTGTCCTCTTCGACTTTTCATTGGAAGCGTCAATTTAATTTGACGCCTACTAAAAGTGATAATGAAATTTTCACGTTTGCAAGTTGAGTATGTCGTTAACACATTGTCAAGTAAGGATGGAGAGAAAGTCTTTTTTTTCCCTCTTAACAGCTAATTGATAGAAATTCATACCAAAAGTTATTCATCATTTTCTATTAGAAGACACCTCGATTGCTGTCAGCGCAAACACTTTTCATAAATACTAAAGCCCGAAAAACAGGCAAACCCGACGTAAATCAGTATTTTCGCAGAAAAGAGCTGACTGAATTAGTGCGTGAACCCCATTCTTGAACAGATCTACCCAACAATCGTATTGGGGAGTATTGTGAGCCAAACTTTATGAACACTCTTTCGTCTACTTCTTTACTTTCATCGCTTCTTAACTTTTTGATCTGTTCTGTTAGCCACGAGCCTAAACTTTCACTCATCAAGAAACGACGTGTCCAAGCTAAATTGCCTCCCGACCTTTCTGAGCCGTTTTTTCCATGATCTAGTAAATATTTCTGTCTCGCCGCAATTTGAATAATCTCCCTTTTAGCAACGGAATTTCGCAGATCCTCGCCGTGGGAGTCTCACCGATGAAACTTAGAAACCAAAACAAAGAAAACCTTCAAAAAAATTCAATGTCTGAAGTAACTCGCATAGCTCTTGTATGCATACGACTGTTGCTATGAAAGATAATTCAGGAACAGCTCGTGGCATGACTATTTTCCTTGAAAACGTTCTTGGCGTAAGAACTGAGACTTTTCTCAGAGAAGAAATAAGAAGAAAAAGTAGATTTCTTAGAGACAATTTAAATGCTAATTACAGACTTGACCAAGTCTAGAAAACAAAACTCTCGGAACCAACGAAATGTCTTCACATAGCGAATTGCTACATGAGGGACGAAAGATAACAACGATATCTTCACGCTGAGACCTTATCGCTTCCTTCGTCTCTTAACTGAAAACGTGAAAACGAGCAAAACGCTCCGCTGACCTCACCAGGGGTCTACTCTCCTTGAGCAAAATGCTTAGATCAGCATTTGGGTGTATTCCGGAATTCTACCTTAAAAAAGAGGGATATTATATCCGAGGAGTTAAGTAGACCCGGCCGATCAAAAACGATCTCAGCTAACGTTGTTGCTTTACTTCTCCGAAAAACGCTCTTTTCCGCTCATATGATATTTATCTTTGATTTGGGTGTCTCAGGCATTGAGAAACAAAGCAGGCAATCCTCACGAAAATTGTTACGACGTTGCAATTTTGATGAAATATGATTTTAAACCTATAAACAAAAAATCCTTATTTTGGTCGAGCGATTGCTTCGCCATGAGTAAATTGTTTCTTGCTAACCTGTATATTTGTTGAGCTCTGCGTTAGCGCGTGGCAATTTAGAAAGGTGCAAAATACTTAAGATAAACTTCATGTAATCTTATGTGAACTTAGACTCATCCAGAGCTTGTTTCACTTTTCATTAAAAACCAACAAACGTAAGCCGACATGTTTAAAATCGATTTAAATACTATAGACACGTTTACGCTAAATATGAACCGCCAATAAAATTCGATAAAACTTCGAGGGTTCGGAAACAGTTTCTGGTTTTAATTTTTATAAAATCAGAAATAACAAGATGAATAAAAGTTAATTCCTGATGTTTTGCCTCGAAGAAGAAAAACAGTCCTTTGAAATCTTCATTAAGACATCTCGATCGAATACCCTTTTGCAAAAAAACGCTTTCCTTTTCGGCTATATCAAACGTTCATTGACCGAACGCCGTGAATTTCCATCGTGATAAAGAAAAGGATTTCCTATATTTTAAATAAGTTCAAACGCTTGGAACGTATTTATGGCTTCTAAACTCATGTGGTGTGCTTGGGCCCATTTTTGAACCGAATCAGTTTTCTTTTTCTCGGCGGCTCTTAAAAGCAATTGAAAATCCGCGCAGAAGCCTTCATTTCATCCTAAGCTTTTGTTGACCAGAAAAGCTCAGAAGTTGAAAAGCGTGCAATTTTCCTGTGGCTTTCTGGCGTTAATTACACGTTCTTTTACGATTTTTCCAACTAATGAACTTATTGTAACTCATTGATGTTGTCCTTCCTGTCGAAAGGAAACTGTGCATTTTCCTTTTTTCAAAGAGTGTAAAGAAATTTAAATTTCATTTCATTCAGTGTCAAAGCTTGGTAAGATTTCCAATTTCCAGGAAAAAAAAGGAAAGGCATACTAACTGCATATGTAAATGATTCAAGGATTATTCTAAATCCTGAAACAAATGAGCTATGTGCCCATGGAATCTAGCTTATTTTGTGTCATTAAAAAACTCGCTTAAATTTAGGTTAAAAGATGTTTTGATTGGATACAAGAGAAAATCTATTCATGACCTTTTTTGAAATCTATTTCCCAACTTAAAAAGGGAAGGAAAACTTTCTTGCGTCGTTTCGCTCAAGGGATATTTTTCAATTTATTTCATAAAGTTTTTTTTAAAACATCCACTGCCATGAAAATTAAAGTGAAGAAGAGGTTAAGAAACTGATTTTTCCATTGCCAAACGTTTTTTCATTGCTAAAAACAAAACGGTATTTATATCTGGAATTAAAAGGAACCGCCTGCAAAATGACTTTTAAATGACTTCTACTTCAAAACTATGACAACTGTGCCTCAAGTTAAAAGTTTGGCTCGAAAATCAATCACTAATTCTTTACGTTCAATAGAGAAAAAAGGTATTTTAGCGTAATTTTATTATAATGCTCCGTTTAGCTCTACGCTTGCGGACAAAGGGAAGACCATCCATTTACAAAGTAATGCTTTGGCGAAATTGATTTTATCTGAAAGAGACTGAAAACAAAAGAGAACCGCAGAGTTCGCTTCGAATTCTACTCTGTAATTATTATTTTTTTTCGGCTCAACTGCTTTGAAAGATCGAGGAAAAAAATGAGAGTGTTTCAATTTATCCTTCCCAAGATCCGGTTTGGAAAGTGCTTATTTCATAAAACAACCCATGCATTTAATGAGTAATGTGCTTGAAATTAGAATGTTATCGTTATAAACCGAAATAATTCGAGGAAGGTTGGTTCTTCAAGGTTTGCGCGGTATCGTATTCAGGCCTCCATTCTTTACGCGAACTGAAAGTCAACCAGATTAAATAACGAGATCTTGGAGAATGCGATTAACGATTAAACGATCGACCTTGCTTGTTTTAGAGGGTGTTAATAGGAGAAATGTAAATATACGTATTTAAGGAGCATGTTAAATTTAGTTGAAATTCGAAGTTCGTATGTACCTTATTAATAAATAAAGCTAACAATGCCGGCAAGTGAGATGATATCGCTTGCGAGGAACTCAAAGTGAACGCATCCACCCTAATGTCCGTTCGTGCTTACAGTGCAAGGCTTAAAATAATTTCCCTACGCAACGCCCATAGTAATTAACCGTAAAGAATGAATCTGCTTACCATCTTTGTTCATGGTGACTTCGAAGCACTTTTTCAAACGGCAGGAACGACACTGGTTTCTATGGATTTTGTCCACGGGGCAGTTTCCCTTCCCGTTTGTCGCTCTGCAAGTATAGGAACGGTTCCTTCGAATGCTTCTCTTGAAAAATCCACTGCATCCGTCGCATGCGTAAATTCCGTAATGCTTTCCCGAGGATCGATCACCGCACACTTTGCAGGGAATATCTAACAGACGTCCTTGAAGGATCAAATGAAAATCGAAAGTGAATAAAGAAATGTTTCCGCTGAAAAGTTAGGGAACCAAGTCTTAGACACAAAACACTGCAAGGAAGGCGCCGAAAACTTCTTCTCCAAGAAAAAAGAAAGCGAACATAATTTACCGTTAGGTTTCGATTTGTCGTTCTTGTCAATTTCCATGTCTTCTAGATGAGGATCAGTATTCATGCCGAGTGGAAATGTTGTGTCGTTGTTCTTGGTCCACATCCGATTTGCTTGGCTAGTTGACGACGTTTTAGAAGAATTGTGCACCTTTCTGCGAGAGGCCAGATTAATAGCAAATGTCAGAAAGCTTTAGTTGAAGCGCGTCTCTGATTGGCCGAGGGCAGCCCATTACTGTTTCATTTTATATTTCTCACGAAACAACAAACACTGTGTTGATTGTGCCTGATTCGTGGAGAAATTCACGCCCATTGTAAGTCGGTGTTTGGGGAGATGCGTCGAATACCTCCGGGAAATAAACAGACATTATTCATTTTTTAAAACTGCATGAACTATTCGACATCAGAGAAGCGATATCGACACAATCCGAACATCGCTGACTTAGGAAAGTTACATTCGCGCACAAAACCCTATGCACTTAACTTTGACGTGACTTTCATAACACTGTTTGATGCGTTGTTATATAAAATATTTAGCGGACGAATACAAACTGAATTATTTAGAAAAACGTCACCCTAAAATATCAATTTTTCAATCATTTGAAAGTATTTAATCAGCGATAACAACCAGCCAGACTGGCATAACTTATTTTTTCTCCTCCTTGTTTTTTCAAGGTTGTGGTGGGGAAATTTTTTTTTGGAGAATTAGCGAATGACAATTAACTTGACTCTTGGACGAAGCGGCGCTAAAAAGCATTTCAGATTTGAAAGAAAATAACCGGCTTTCCAAACTTAAAAAGAATGAAGCCATTTCAAAGGGTTGTGCCGGACACTTAGCTTAGTTCAACAAGCCAATCACATTCGAAGCTTGGTTGTGACTGACACGTGGGTTTTCAAAGAATATGAAATAGGAGTTTGTTGGTTGCCGATTAATGGCTTTTTATTCTTTCTCTTTTTCGCCATTCCACCCAGCTGTCAATAAAACAAGAATCGTTAGATGTCACCTGTCTTTATCACCGCTGGCCACCTGGCTATAGAATTATAATTATAGTAGGAAAAAAGAAAATTTCAAAAGTTTGTTGTTTGAGTCTTCGCTTCTTGCAGCTGAAGTAAGCTCACTCACTGTAGCTCCGGAACCCATTCAAAGTCGCCTTCTGTCCATTTCAATGTTCTCTCCCGTAGCGCCGATCGACCGTAAAATTTAACTATCTTCCTTCGTTGCTGAATTCGTTTTATCCTAAATTAAATCGTTTATAGTTTTTCCATTGTTCTGTGTACAGCAATTAGCAATGGCAAATAATTCAGCGCGTGGTTGTAATTATCACTTAAGCAGACGGAAAGCATACCGAAAAAAGTTGTAAATTAAAGCACAATCATTTGATGTGAATGCACGGAATTAAAACGGATGTTATTCCTCCCTAAAAGTACTTTAATGTTCCGTTTTTCTGACCCTGAGTTTTCTTCATAGAAGAAGCTGAAAAATCACATGCTCTCACACAAAAGTTGTTTTTCAACTTGTACTTGGGTGATATCTGCTTCGCGCCAAGTCAAAATGTGAAACATAAAAGCTGGCGGGTGATAAGTGATTTATTTCATTAGCAGTGAATAGTCTCTGAAGTGCCTTTAGCATTATTTTATGTACATTTCACCTTGACTTATCTTGTGTAAATATTTACTGCAATAAAACATCAGGAGAAAGAGACAGCAAATGAAAATATGCCTAAAAAAATACAAAAGAAGTAAAAATAAAATCATTACCAAAGTGCCTCTTCGCATTCTGATCAAAATTGCCTTTGGCTCGTTTGCAGAATTGGTTTCTGTCCTGCGGTCTTTTAAGATGATTACTTCGTGTTAATTCTTTTAATCTCTGAACTTAAGCCAAACAGCAAAGAAAGAAAGCAAAATAAAACCGCGAAACACTTGCAAATTGTTCTGCTGTCGCCCCGTTTTAAAAACGCAAGGGGGTAACTGATTCACAGTAATATCAAATCAGATGTAAAAACGAAAAGTACGGATACATCCAATCTAGTTTCGCCTAAAGCCCGGCAGCGGGTATACAGTACGTTCCGTTCCAGCGCTTCATTAATGTCAGTTTTATTACCAAATCGACCTCAGCTATTCAATTACAAGTAAATCGGAAGGAACATTACTGGAAAAGTAGACTCCAACAGCCAGGATACCTTTTGGTTGTGTTTTGAATATGTCTATTTTGCTTTTTATCTCATAAAGGGGTTATGCTAAGCTATGCTGTGGTTTTGGCAAAGAATATTCAATTTGAGAGCTGTTTTTGTCTGAAACGTCTGGAACGGTTTGCAGAAATAACGTGAGTTCTGTTTCGCAACCGTTACTAAAAAGTTCCGCTCAGACTCAGGAAAATATTCCTTAAGAAACTACATTGAAATTTCTGAACAATTACCACCGATATTTTTACCCAAGTTATTATTAATAGTAATAGAACGTTTTGAAGCCAGTTTAAGGTATCACACTGGATTAACGATAGGTCAATAAAATCGAGTCAGTTATTTTTTAAATCTGACTAAAGTTTGAATCCGAGTCAGGGAGACTCCCTTTGTTCATTGGTTTTAGAATATCATGGACTTAAATGAAAACTTTCTTTTTTTTTTTACATTTTTTTCACTAACCTGTGAGAGATTTTAGGACACAGAGACTTCTGAGTTCTGGCTCTAAAAGCCAAAGTTAACAGGTGATTGATAAAGAAAATTGATACCGAGACCAGTTTCGAAGAGAAAGAAAAAATACTGCTGAAGTATTCCGTATCGCTCCACACTATTAACCCAATTGACAACATTTTCTATTCTGATTAGGGGAACTAAATGTTCAAATGATTTTGAAAGATTCAATTTAGGCCTTAAAAACCCATTTTCGTACGTTGTAAATTCATCTCCTGAAGGTTGGTGTAAAGTTTTGCCCGAGGGTATATATTTGGGTGGGACAGTTTTTTTAACGTTGCGCGGATATATCTATATATGTAGCGATGGAACGATAAAACTTAGCACAACCTTACAGAAATATTAACCTTTGGATACCAAAAAGCGTAGAGGTACATTTTTTTTTAATGTTTATGCCTTTTGCAGCAAGAAACACTGAAAGCATGTCGAATCGGGAGGATGTATCGTCTAACGTTTCATTGTTTTGAATTTCCTTTTTCCAGCACTTAACTGAGGAAGTTAACTTTCCAGAATGTTGTTTACATAAATAGAGTGAATAATGTTTAAATAGCGGTTCTGTGTAATTGCGGTAAATAGCAATAACAAACAGCGAGTAAATCATGCTTTAAATGTTCAGCAAGATGTTTTATCTGCCGTTGATAATTTTTGGTCGGTATGTTTTGAAGATTCTTATAAAAGTGCTAATTATGATATATATACTGTTAAAAAATTTTTTCTGCATGATTAGTTACTTCTTCAGGCGAAAAGAAGCTGAAAAAAAGGAAAAGGATTATTGTTATCTTTTCAGTAAAAAAGAGGAATAATATCGCGTTGGTCAGGCCTATTTCTTAATTTGCACCGCTTTCAATAACACTGCTTTAAGGCTTCCTTTAGCAGAAGTGAAAAAAAAAAATAAAAAAAAAAAAAAAGAAAGAAAAAGGAAATCAATAAAAAAGAAATTACAGTTTCGGTTGAGCTATAGTGGAGAAGTTAAGCTGCCGGCATTTCACCGTCAAAATCACTGAATAGCTTTTCTCCTTTCCAACTTGGTTTTAGCTGTGAAAACTCACTCACAATCTAATGACTGGAAAACGTCTCTCGAAAATAAAAGAATGAGATATTAAAAAAAATGAAATGGAAAAGGTAATACTAATGAACATTGCCTGAAAAGAAAGTCAGTGCCGAACTTTCTAGATGATGAACTCAACTTTAGTGTAGGTAACAGGTCCGTGAGAGTTTTTGGGGCGAAGAGACGAGCGTAACCAGAGGTCGCCTCAATTGATGGTTTCCACCATCTCTTGCGAATTTGGTATTGAGCGTCTAACTCATACAATCTCTATGATAATTTGTTCATGAGACCCCTTCTTCTCATTTCTTATTGATAATGGAGTAGCTTTGGGTCTTGGCTGAAAGGCAACTAATAGTTTACAAAACGAGACTGTGAAATGCTACACTGAAGACTCGGTTACAAAACAAGACTGGCGCGGTGAAATGCTACACTGAAGACTCGGTTACAAAACGAGACTGTGAAATGTTACACTGAAGCCTCAGTCATTCAGACTAACCATTCAGTCCATCTATAATAACTCTACGAAAGAATCTTAACAGAGGACTTGATCTCCCGTAATAAAGGAAACCTTTGGCCTGAGGCAAGAAGGGGAAGGAAACTTATGTAACCGCAATACGACAGTGAAATTTCCCAGCGCCTAAATCAATCGACTACACTTATCAGTATAACAAACTCCGATGTCTTCCAACGGATGTCTCTCAGTCTCAGTGGTGGTCGTTTTCCAAGTTCCTTGTTCCTGTTGTTTAAATTAGTAAAGATCAAATGAGTGAATAAGCTGAAGCAGTATTTTTTTAATTGGTATCACGAAAAGAAGGAGAAATGCAGCATGAATGAAAAATAAGAAACTGGTTGAGAAGAAACTAGGGTATTAGCTCCGTAAAAAGCTCAAATTATAAGAAACTTAACAGAAAAATGTCTCATGTAGACCGAGAGTATTCATAAAGATATTTCATTGATTACACTACTACACTCAGGTGGATGGCGCTCTGTAAACCCTTTATAAAGCTGCTGGGATTTCTATGCAAAGGACGAGAAAATCCCTGTCACCATGATGTCCATGTTACCGTGGAAAGTAAGTTTTATCAATCAAAACAGAGATTTAGTTCAGCCGGTCACTTCACCTGGCTAAGCGTTTTCTTTATCCGTTACTGAGTAACAAGGGGATTTTAAATTTTTTAGTTTTTAAGCATTTCTCCCCAAAATTCGATCACCAACTTAATAGCCCTCTAATTTAATAACATTATACAATACCGCATGGAAACACCGGCGTAGAAACTCTCTTGCGTATGTTTCTACCTAACCTTTTGCGACGGACAAAACAGTATTTGTGTCTCCTGAATCCTGTTCTCTTTATCGCATCCATAATTGTGCAACTTTCATTAAGTACAAAATGTTCATAATAGATTACATATGTTTATCTACAATACGAGTAACTTTTCTCGGTCGAGGGAGGATAAAAATTGTTTATCATATTTACCTCTTAGCCTTTTATCACCTTGTTTTCAAAGATATTCACCAACAAATTTTTCTCTTTAATTGAGGGTTGAAAAATGGTGATCTGCCGTGTGATTTTTCCCTCAATTGTGACCTTAAATTTCGCTGGATAGTTAAACTAAAGTGTGCTATTCCCAGCTAACGCCTGTGCAATTTTATTGCAATCCGGTGAACAAGAGCTTCGCCACAAAGCAGGTAACTATATCAGTTTTTAGACCTTCTGTTATAAGAATCAACTTTACTCACCCAATTTTCCTCTACACCCATCTGATAGCGTTTCACAAGTTGGTTATCGTAAATCTTAAAATCAAGGATTGTTCAAATTCATTATTTTGTAAATACTTGGAATCTTAGATTGTTTAATTATTCGAGGGTTTGATCCACCTGCGAAGATTTAATTCGAAATCATTTCAGTCACATCGGTTTGTGCTTATAATTGCTTTCTTTCTCTCATTTTTACATTCAGTTCTTGTTGTGCGATCTTCCATCAGTAAATTGTCTCTCTATAAAAATTATTTACCTGTTCTTAAAGAGGCGGCAAATTTCTCTGGCAAGATGAGGGGTTAAACTTTTCTCTCGTTCCACAGAACACTTTGGCGAAGCAGCTTCAAGTTTAGTTCTAACAGTGACTCTTGCGTCCTCTCACACGGCACAATTTGTATTTCCAATCGTCTTGATTCCCCAAGAGAACCATGGTATGCACACAAAAGGGAGAGATGAGATTACAAAGAAGTACAGGGGGTAACAAAATAAAAAATGAAAAAGAAGTGTATATGAAGATAGAAGATGTGAACGAAAGGCCGATGTGGACGCGAAGGGGATTGCGATGCTGAAAGGTGCCAGTTAAGGAGAAAGCATTGTTATTCCGTATGGATGCAAGGGGAGGGCGAAGAAGAGATACAAATGAAAGGTACCTATCGAGAAAGTAGAGGAGATGCAGAAGAGACAATTTGATGGGGTAAATTAAATGTAACTTACTTTTAATGGGGAGTAATCAGATCAGAAAGGTGTATTAAGATTTGACGCAAGGCACACCGTGCACAGACCTCACTGCATGTCGATTGTCTTTAAAGGTTTTTGGAAAGAGCCTCAAATAACGGGTATCAAGCGCAGACAGTAATGCACTTCGAACTTAAACATCCTTGTGACTCGAACTTCTCCTCTGAGTCATTGCCCACCCACCATAATGATCAAATGCCTCGAACTTCCCCCATCTTAAATCTTTTTTGTTTCTTCGACACTTTCAAGGTAGCGAGGTTTTATTGCGATCAATATTCTCCCGTCTTTCCTGGATTTACTTTTGCTTTTTTCACATCTCCAAATATCACTCGCTTTATTGATGCACTTTTTAATAAGTAGCTGAAATTCTGCAAACAAAAGGCCGACCAACGCAAACTGATGTTTGTTTTAGAGGAACACAATTTGAAAGAATTTCATATCAGTCACTTCCCTTGAAGTACATCTTTCCCTCAATTACTTTCTGCTACCTCGAATTACCTGTTTGTCATACCATTGATTACCCTTCTTCGCCGGATTTTCTCTTCTTCAATAACATCTCTAATATTACCCACTCTACTGATGCGTTTCTTTTTTCAAGAAATTTATTAAGTTTCTGCAAACAAATATGGCTGTGTAATGCAAGCTGTTGTTTTTAATTAACCATATTTTGATAAATAACCTGTGCAAGCCGTCAGCTTTAATTTCCTCTTGACAAAGAAAGACGGGGATATATTTTTTTCATGTCTCGCTTCAAATATTTTTTGTCGCAATTCCTAATAATTCGATTCGCTGCTCTAAACATCTGTTTAACACTCTGTTATAAACATCTCTCTTCATAAATTGAACATTTTCAAATAAATAGCCCGTTAAAAAAGAGGATGTTTGAATTATTGCTTCCTATACATCATGGCCCTTAAATCAGTTTTAAAACTGAGATTTCTTATGATAATTTTTCTCTGAAAATTGGTGCTTTTAAAAACGAAATATCTACTTGTCAAAATGTCTCGTTGTACATTAGATTTTTTTTAACGACTATTTCTCTGTTTCATGGTTTTTAGCAAATCTAGGGCTGATAACTTTCCAATCCACAATCAAATGAAGTTCACTCCGATTTTGCTAGGATCATTATTCTAAATTTAAACCAAGAATATTATTACTACCGAAGCTAACGACAACGCAACTCCTACTACTACAGCGACTATACCGTTCATACAGGGCATATCCGAGAACATCTCGCGCATCTTACAACCTTTCAATATCCGCGTCGCTCACAAACCCGTTACCACACTACATCAGTTACTGACTAACGTGAAAGACAAAGACGAACCGAGGAACAGACAGGAAGCAGTTTATAAGATCAATTGCTCCGACTGCCACGCCTCCTACATTGGTGAGACTGGCAGGAACCTCACACCCCAAACTGACTGAACAAAAGCTAGCGACGAGGATAGGCGATGTCAACAATCACACTGCTGAACATCACCGACTTACGAACCACAATATTGACTGGGACTCTCCGCAATACCTAACCTACGGCACCAACTACTTTTAACGACTGACTCTTGAAAGCTGGTTTACCAACTAAGAGAACAGCCTCCCCTCATCAGGTATCAATCACTACCGGCACCATACAAACGACTCATTCACGACATGTTAAAACATTACAAACGAACCGAACAGAACGACCTAACTTTCTAACGGATCGAGACTGACCAATCACGACCGACCTACGCCACTTGAGTCTTGCAGGCAATAACATTGCGGCAAAACTGACCAATCAGTTTGTACAAGCCGGAATTAGAACATTTGACTGACAACAACTATGCGCTTGACTCTGATGATGACTTCCGCTCATGTTGTCGAAACGTTAGTCACCACTACCGATAACAATTCTTCTCAGGACTACACTCACCCGGACGATCAGACCATACTATTACAAGAATAATTAATAAGAAATAGGCTTTGTCTGTTTTGCGTACGTCCAGGATACGATCTTGAACTTTCAACTGAATCATCGCTTATTTTCGCCAATAATCTAGTGTTTATTTATGATACTATGCACATTTCATTTCAATTGCTGACGTATATGTTATTAACATTGGATAATGTTATGTATTGGTCCGATAACGCTTAAAAACCGTTAAAAACCCTTAAAACCTGTTAAAAACGCTTAAAACCCGTTAAAAACGCTTAAAACCCGTGTAAAACCCTTACTGATTCGCGCATTTTTGGGGATGGTTTCGGATGATGTGTTATTATAGCGCGAGCTATGAATAGCTGACGCTCAAAAAACCATCGAGAAATTGTTCACACGGTTTGTAAGCGAGTCGGTGCTGTATGTAACTGAGGTTACGCGATGTTTTACGTTATTAAACATATTTGAGCAAGGCCAGTATGTCTTGTATTTCCAGCCGGTAAAAGTAATAATTTTGCTCCATTTTTTCAATCTAGGTGTATTTATCTAAACAGCACATGAAACAAGACCCTCCTTACTGCAGTTCAATATTAGATTTTGAACACGATTGGACTGAAAACATGACAACCCTACACCTTTGAATGGCTTTTCTGGTGACATTCAACTTTGCACTACGGCAAACATGCTTAAAGAGAATTAGCACAAATTGTTGAAAAACGGCCCATTTTTTAAGGTCTTTTCTTAAAAATGATAAACCCCGCTGTCTAAGGAATATTCTGAATTAAATACAAGTTGTTTGAGGTTCTTGAAGTACCACGATTTGTTAAAAAGGTTTGCGTCATCAAAATTCTTTGAAATGTAAATTTTTTTGTAAAGATTGTGGACTCAGCTGCAATTTGGATTATGTTACTTTGTATCTATTCTGCTAATTTAACTATTTAACATCATAAAAGGAGAAAACACAAGTTTTTCCGTCAGTTATGATACAGCTTTTCCAGTCATTTGGTTTTTTGGGCTAGTAGAACCAAGAATTTGTTGCACATCGAAATTAAATGAGCAAAGTCCTCTGTCAACGTTGAGCAACTTTCCCAAACAAAATTTTCCGGCGATGTCGAAATTGTGTTTACACAGCCAAGCATTTTCTGCCATTAAGTCAGTTTTCACGTCTCAATTTTGAATTTTTTAGCCGAGGCTCTGAAAGACAGCCATAAACTGAAAAAAACCACATAAATTGCTTATGATCGAAACAAACTATCATAAATTGCTTATGATCGAAATAGACGCATCAGCGGCTCATTATGGTTTTGGAGAAAAACAGCCTGCTTAAGTTTGTTACTTTCAAATTCATTCTTCTGTCCGCGGGAAGGTTTCTGACTAGAGAGCGATGGCGGAAATTTGTAAGGGGAAAGTGACAGTCATTCGCTGAGAGGAACTAAGGGAGGTATGCGATTAAAACTTGACTGAGGAAAAAATTGTCTTTACCCAAGCGCGATTTCACGCCCTGGAACTAACCAGGTTAAATATGCATTTTCGACAAGAGTGTTTTATTAGAATAGATTGAGGCTTTATAGTTTCAACCAATATTTTTTACCAGAAAAAGTAGGAAATCTTCATTTATTTTCCATGAAACACACATCAGTGTAAGGAAAAAACCTATTTGGGTGCTGATTTGTAAACATATAGCGTTGTTACCTTTAAGGCTTTATTATTTTTCATCTAATTACAGCTCTGTATGAAATATTGATAACCATTCAGTGACGTCCATTTGTTTCGAGAGGGTGAACTGTTCGCTTCTCGGCTTGAACTTCGTGACAAACTGTTGCAAAAAAAAAAAACCAATATCGGGTGCAATCTCTGACTGATTGCAGATTCTCTACGTCTGGTTTTGGTGTATGTTCGTAACGCGAGAGGAAAGTGGAAAAAATGGATATTTTACAGGAAGTCAATACATCAACGCAAGCAACTACAGAAGGCGACCCACGTTCCTTGGTAACAGTGTGCTTCGAAGCAACCATTTTGGGTTTAATAATTCTCGCTGCTGTATTCGGGAACTCTCTGATTTTGACATCCTTGTATCGCTTCACTTGTCTACAAACCAAGACGAATGTTTTTGTTTTGAACCTAGCGATCGCGGATTTATTTCTCGCTGTACTAGCGATGCCTTTTACGCTCGTCTCTTCCATAACTTACGACTGGATCTTCGGAACAGTAATGTGCCAAATCCTTGGCGCGTTAAACTCTATTTTCTGCGAAGCATCGATATGCACATTAACTTTCGTAAGCATCGAACGATTCATAGCAATAGTCTATCCTTTGAATTACGAAACATTAATCACTACTAAACGGGTGAAAATCATCATTAGCTGTATTTGGTTGCAAGCTGTTATATGTGTGTTTTCCACGTTCATTTTCTCTGAATTCAAGTTCTTGAAATTCGAAGCGGTTTGCACAGTGAATTGGGAACGGAATTTTGCTTACACGCTCATTTTCGCCTTCATTTTCCTTTTTGTACCTTTTCTCATAACGGCTGTGTTGTACTGTATTATTTTAAAAACAGCCATAAGGCAGCGCCAGCGCATCAATGTCATCAAAGTCGGTGAGATCTCTTCCGAAAGATGTGGGAAAAAGGTTCCGACCGGAGAAAAAAAGACAAAAAAGGAATATAAAGCAACTGTCATGATTGCAATTGTGATAGGAACTTTCTGCCTCTGCTGGTTTCCGCATTCAATCGGTGTTTTCTGCATTATTGACCCGAACTGCAACTGGGACGATTCTTTTTTCGTGGCGACTACATGGCTTGCTATGTTAAATAGTGCCATGAACTCCATCATCTATGGTTTGATGAACCGCAGTTTCAGGCGCGCTTTTAAGAGCGTTTTATGCTGTGAGCGTTACGTAGGGAACGAGGACTTAGCAACAAATATTCAACAAGAGAGAATAACAGGCGATAGAAAGAGCAATTTGTTAAACCGATATTCTCAACATCAATAGTTACTCCAATCGCCCTTAAAAATTTTACCCAGTCTTGTCACCTTCGTCTGCTGCACAATTAGCTTTCATTTGAATATCATTTTAAAAGTTCTGTAGCGATTTATAAACTTACAACATTGTAAAATATGTATACGTTTTTTTTTTCTTTTTTAAGAGAATGAAGAGTCGGCAAGAGTTATTACGAGAGTAACTTTCCAGCGGCGTTCTTGTTAATTCAGAAGTCAAGTGTGTCGTTAACGGCAAATGTCACACGTCAAAAAATGAACTTATCAGCAACTGCGTTCATCCGTTCGTAAACAGGGTCCGCTCTGAACCACAATTTTTTTTTTGTTTATTAAAATATTGTTGTTCTTTGGCTTTGATTTTAAGGATTGTGTTGTTCATTTTTTCCGTTTGATTTGCTGTAAAACATTACGTTTCAACTCTCGAATATTACACAACAGACTTTTCCCACCTACACGGCGCTATCAACTCTGAATCAATATCACCACGAAATACATTCATGTTCGTTAAGAGGGCCGGAAGATCCCCTTTCCATTAGGATTACCTCTACTGGTCGCAATATCAAATAGGACCAGTTTAGAAATTCTCTTGACTAAAACGTCAGATACACAAAGAGAAGACTTCGTTGACTTGTGATCTACTGCCAAAAATTTAGAAAAAAATTATGGTGTCTCACCAGGTCACTCAAGCATCTAAATTCTCGTGGCGCATAAATTATAGGTTGCGTTAATATGATCTGGTTTAGCTTTAGTGCATTAAAACACTTTGCCTTTAAATGTGCTCCTGGTTGACCAACTTTTGTAATCAATATCATGCACACATTGACAGAAAGTATAATCATGGAACAGAGCAATCATGGAATCGATGGTCACTTTTATATCATCTCTTTTACGCTCTTTCTTGTTGTCGTAATTAAAAGTGTTCTGTTAAATTTTCTTTGACGTCTAAATGCTCCATAAATCAAGGCATTATTACGAACTGGATTTGTATCATGTTTTATGCGTCGCAGGAAAAAAAGCATGGAGTTTTCTTCAAAACTGCCGGTGAAATCAATGACCTAAATTTTTTTGTGTGAACTGAAAATATCACCTCAGTACAACTCACTGCTTTCGGAAATTGTTCGCGCGTACAGATTTTTGTCGGATTGGGAGTATGATTTTTCACCATTCAATTTGCTTTTTCTCAGCTGAAACAATGCCTCCCTGACGACAGCTTGTCTAAAATTACTAAATGAAGGGAACATGTTTGGTAATGATATCATAGTTATAATTTCCCGTGTACATTAATATATTACGGGGTTTTACTGCTTACTTGAAATTTTGGAGATGAAATTAATAGACATATGAAATTGAATGCCTAGAATGAAACTGAGGGTATGAAATTAAAGTTACCACTTGACTTCCTCTGTGAGTAGGCCTCATGTTGGCTTTTACATGCTGGATGTTGCTCCTATCTCGGTTATTGTGGGATATACAACATACTGTGCTCGTAACTGAGAGCAAGCGCTGTCTTCTGATAGCTTATGTTAAACAGTTTTATGAAAAAATGTTCGCAAGATTTTAAATAATCAGAAATATTAACCAATTTAACATAACCAGGGGTAACTACTTCACTGTAACAATTCCCTTTGATTTTCAACATTGACCAGAATTTCAAGACACATAGGGTAAGCTTGTAAAGGGTGCTACAGCCACTGAAGCTTCCATGGCAATAAATTAGCGACAGTCCTATATTAGTTGAAATAAAAAAGAAATAATACAATGAATTACCTCATACAGCTATAGGCAGTTTTGAGAAAACCTCCAGCAGGTTTGGTAAGAAAATCCAGGTTGTAACCAGCAGAAATATATGTGTAAAAAATTTTAAGAATTAACAATACTTCGGAACGTCTACAATGAGAAAAGGTAAGTGGTAGTCGGCAGTGGGCATATAGTTACTTATACCATCTGATACTGGATTTAGAAAACTTAGACCATATTCACGACTTTTCTGCTTGATATACCCTTTCTGATTGCTTCCCCTATTCCTACTCTCCCTTAAAAAAATGCTATCAAGGCGAAGACAAGGGTAGTAAGTAAACCAAAGCTACTGAAATATGAATTTAGACGTACTATGGCCGTTAAAATCCTCTTTCTTTAATACTTTTTTATTTTTATTTTAAATCACAATTTTTCATCGCATCTTCGGTCCTTTTACGGAGGAGAAGGGTCCGGAATACTATCCTACAGTGGGGTCATCTAAACAGCCTTTAATGTTATACAAAAAGATTAAAGATTTCTCGAGAAAAAATCGAGTGTGTAACTGAAATCATTTGACTTTCGATTTTCGTAATTCTTGTCCTTTTTTTTTAATGATCGCAATGTTCTTGATTCATTCCTTGGTTTTATTTCGCAATTCATGATTCCCAAGTGTTATGAAAGAAATTCCTGATTCGTTCTCATTTCATTTACAATTCATTATTAATGATTCTACTTCGGCCTCTGACAGAAAACTGTAAAGAAGGGAAATTGCCAATGGCTAATTCAAAAGGTTTTAAGGTTGATTTTCAGGATCCTCAAGCAAAATGAGCAATAGCTGGTTAGTTTTTAAACAATATACCTTTTTCATAATAAGACGTCTCAGGGATGTCTTTTTCTTAGCTGCAGGCGTTTACAAATAGTACAACTCTAGTTACTGACCACTGATTGTTATTGTCATTAGTTTTCCAGCTTTTGATCTTTATATTGACTGTAAACGGATTCACTTCGCTACCCAGTGGATCAGGTAAAGTGTGTCAAAGATAAATGACTTGTCGAAAACGAATTGAATGGCATTTATAAGCTGGATTCTTGTAGTAACAGAGGGCCCCACCATTCTGTGGGACGCGCTTCGCTCTGTAGCCTCGGCTTCTCGTTTATCCTTTAAATGCCAGTAGTGACTGACACGCAACTTCTCCTTACACTTTCAATACATTATCCAGCAAGCAAGAAATGAGAATAAACACACTTATCAGCTCAAGGGTGTTAACTTCATAAGTTGACTGCAGGGATGTGCGCGGCATTTAAAAAGGAGGGTCACAAATTGGAGTTTGGGAACAAGCGGGTCAGGACCTTTTCCTGCTTTTCAGCAGCAAAATGCATTTGACTTGGAGATCATTTTATAACCTGACCGTTAAATGAATGAAAATATCTTGTAAAATGAATTTGGTCACTGCCTTTTGTTGAGATGGCTAGCATGATAGATTTCTAAAACACAGCAAACAATCACAAGTGCAGTGGCTCAATGGCGGCCCTGAAATGAATGTTGAAAGAAATTGATAAACCCAGCTTTCAGACCTCAAGTTCCAGCGTTACCTCTCATTTCTGAATGAACGCTTTCCATAACAAAGTAAGGCTTCTAATGTTGGAGAAATCTTAGCTACCCGTTACTGTTTTTTTCGTTGTATATTAGCGGAGCTCGCAGAGCGTAGCGCCATAATTATACAAAATAATAGTAGTAACTCATCAAGCCGAAAAAATTTGGACTTAGGACCGTACGATCATACGACCGACCGTACAAGATGCTACTTTTAACATGCGTGGTCAACTTACCGCGGGCGCACCAACGCCACGGCTTTGTCCAGTAGTCTAGTGGTCAGTGCACTGGGCTCCGAGTCGGACGACCCGGGTCATTTTTCATCACCTGTGTGTTTACTGTGTGTGGAGGGGGAGGGGGGGAAGGGGAAATTTTTTTTTCGGGGGGGATGGCATGGTTCTCAAGGGAGACCCAGGGGAGATCAGTCGTCACCAACAGAATTTGAAAAACGGACTACAGAAAAGTGACTGCCAATTAACTGCCAATGAGGGGTGGGTCGGGGGGATCATAAAAATATTACAGAGCCTCATGGGTGGAACAAGAAATTTCATCTTGACACCACCGGAATTCTCCAACCCTCGCCCCCAGGTTATAAATAATTACCGGTCCCTTAAGAACTGTCTATACCCTGGACAGGATATTGCCAATCAGAAAACTGGATCAAAGCTGGCTGCCGTAAAGACACTGCACGGGAGATGGTGTTACTGTTTAGTGATCGAAATCCAGGCTCTACAGTCAAGATAAGCTGGAGTCATTGGAAACCTTATCTCATCAGGTAAAGAATGCATAGGTCACCGGCAATAAGTTTATTATGTCGGTAATTGACTTGACGAGTCTTAGAACGAGTGGATATTTGGAGGAGCCAAGATAGCATTGTTGTAGGAACGCTTGCCTCCTAGTGCCAGGTTTAGCTTGGTTTCGTCTTTAGGACCTGTTAAGGCCCAGCTGTTTCTTAAACGTTTCGGTGACTTGAAGGGTCTAGAGCCTTGTATTAAATGCTAGATCTAAGGTATAGTAGAGCGGGTCTAAACTCAAAACTCTAATCTATTCTGTTTCCTTTCTTAACTCTTTTATTGCTTGAACTCCATGCCCACTGATATCTCGATCTTGACTGCAAATGCGGTAAAAGACAACTTTGCAGGACCGTTAACTAACTGAACTTTCGAGAAACGGGGTCGAATTAAAAGACTACAAATAATGAAGGGAGCCAAAGAAACCGGCTAACCGTCCTTACTTTTTTCAATTCAATGATAACATAAACATGGAAATCCCCAGTGGTGAAAGAATGTCGAAACACTGTCGTCTCAATTTTGACTTCTTCTACTAAATGAGGACCTCGTGACGAGGTTCGCCTCACGAAATTCTGTTCAGGGCCAGCACCGCAGCGAGGAGATGGGATAACAATATACCCCGACATGTGTGAGGGCCTGGGTAGCATTTTTCGCACTTTTAAAACACTACGTAACTTATTTTCTCAATATTTTATTCTAGCTTGGCTTGTCGCTGCGCAACTGAAGCCAAGCGTCAAAACCTTCAGTGGTTCGCTTTACAGTATTATGGAGAGTGTTGGGGAAGCAGTGAGTCTTTAAAAGAACTCTTTCCAAGGTGCATTATCGCTTTTTACTCAACTTGCATGATACGCTGGAAAGTTGGCATTTTCGACTTCAGTATACGTAACTGTTTAATCAATCAACAGAAGGGTGTACAATGTAAGGTAACCAAGTCAGTCGGTTAAATACAGTCTTTATTAATGAGGTCAATTAATGTTAATCAATATTTGTATAATTGCTCAGGTGATTAAAGAAATACGCGCGCCCTGATTGGTCGAGGATTGCGTCATATATCGCTATGATCATTTCGCGAAAGGTGATTATAACAGGGGCGCTAACTTTAAAAACGGCTGCCCTGCGTTTTTGCAAAGTTTCCGAGGAGGTAATAAACGCAATAGAAGAAAATTCAATTGCAAAAAGCACAAAAGATTTTACCGAGTTTAGCAGAACACTTTTGAAAAGGAAGATATGGAGTTTTCACTGATTGAATTATATAAACTCGCCTTGTTCTTATCTCGGTTTCTGCTTTGTATACAGGTACCCCATAGATTCGGAGGACAGATGTGTTGGTGAATCTTTCAAGCCTTGCAAAGAAGAGGATCCTAAGTCAATGTGCGTTGGACGTGCATTTAGAGTTTACTTCTACGAATTCAAAAAACAGCCGGGGAAGCAAGTATCACATCAGGGAATAGCCAGTGGAGGAGGATATGGTATTTTTCTCCTTATTGTGTGAGCCTAAGGGACGCTGTAGTTTCCAAATCTTAGGTACATGACGAAGAGGTCACCGACTGAGTGTCTTTGGATGTTACCCTTTCACAGAAATATACAGAGATCAAAAGGAGAGTTAGCTTTCATACCCCGAGGATGAGGACGTTTTCTACGTCGCTGCGCACAAAATTGGCTTCCATTATCACCGTAGGTCATACAAAATATTTCACAAAACGAAAAACGCAATAAACACTGATCCCTTAGATTATTCCCAATTTCTTGTTCCAGGCTGCCGGAGAGCCGTGGATGTTGCCTTTGTGATCGATACGTCCGGGAGTGTAACACAGGCCAATTTCAACAGGATTATTCAATTCCTTAAGCTGTTTGTGGATCGCTTTGACTTCCCTGACAGTGGTACAAGGTCAGTGTCAGCGAGAAAAGTTGTATGTAAATGAGCTCGAATGGGGTGGAATCTGCTCCAAAATTTCGAGTGCGCTGAAGATTTGCTTGAAAGAACCACAGATTTTTCGGAAACTGCACTAGTGATGCTTTTAAGGACACCTGGACTGGGTAAAAGTTTTCCCACGCCAAATAGGTAAGGGGAAAACCAAAACGTGAACAGTGAAAGAGATTATAAATGGCCCACGAGAGATAAGGTTTGATTCGTGTACAAACCGTGACCTAGTTGTTTCAGAGCAATACGATATTATTTGTGCACTTGAACCGAGAGGCTGCCCATCTCGAATCACGGGAGATGGCTAGTCCGTCCTGGTACTCTCTCTGGATAGTGGATAGTGTACTATACCAAACTCTCCC